TTGGATTTATTACGATAATAAATTCACAAGAATAAATTATCTGGGATTTCTTCACTAATTCCACCATTAGAACTTAAGGCAAAAGAAAAAATAAGATAAAGGGTTCTTATTTACTAACGCGGGAAAATAAAACGGTTTTTCTCCCTCTTGTTTGTATTCTAGATAAAAATAAGAAAAAAATGACTGTTTTTTTTTTTTTTTTTGCCAAGAGAGCGCTCCTTGGCAAGTTTTCTTTTCAGTAAAAAAGGCAAAAGAGTTCTAATCATATTTTTGCTAATTGCCGTTGCAATTATCCCAGTTTATCGGCACTGGTCAAAAGTTGGTAGAAACAATAAACTAAAAAAAAGATAGATAGTGGAAAATTATGGCAGAAACAACAAAAGGTCAAGCAAGTCCGCGTGCTCATTTCTTTCATGTTACTCCTTCCCGCTCGGATGGTAAATGACGAGTTAAAGAAGTTAGGGCTAATGGGGCCATTGCTCTCGACACCAAAGAGAAAGCCTTACAAAGAGCACGAGAAATGAAAAATGAAGTGGAAAACGGGCACGTAGTAGTTCATGATGAGCACGGACGGTTTGAAATAATAGAATAGGGGTGTGGCTAAACCTATCAACAGAATTAGCCGGGGAGTCATCCGGAGGCTCCCTCTTTAACCATTATCATTGCAACAACAAAAAATAACTATGAATAATCGAAATATAATCAAAAGAAATCAATTTAAAGGTCTAAAACATTTACAAAGAACTCTCGATAATTTTTTTAATGATTTTTGGTGACCAACACCAGGGTTGAGTGAGGCATAAGAAGAATTTCAACCCCAAAGCAAAGTGACAGAGGACAAAGATAATATTTATGTGGAAATTGATTTGCCAGGAATTAAGAAAGAGGAAACTAAAATTGAGGTCTATGAAAATATTTTGCGGATTTCTGGGAACAGAAAAGAAAAATTAAAACGAGAAAATGCCAAGCAGCATTATTCTGAAGTCTTTTATGGTTCTTTTACTCGGGAATTCGTGTTGCCAGCAGCAGTCGAAAAAGAAAAAATTAAGGCTCGTTATGAGGATGGAGTTTTATTTATAGCTATTCCTAAAACAACTAAAGGCCAAGCCCAAATAGTAGAAATAGAATAATTAAGAAAAAAAGGAAGCATAAAAATTCCTTTTAGGGATTGAGGATTTGTCTTGAAATGAATAATTCCCCACAATTATTTGTTTTCTTCTGTCTATTGAAAATATTTCTATCTATTTTTGACCTTTGGCAAAAAATTTTCATTTATTTTTCCTCACAAATAATTATACCCCTCTTAACTCCTTAATATTAAAATCTTTTAAAACTAATTTTTTTCCACAATCCTTACAATGAGCCTCTTCTAAAATAAATTCTTTTCTTTCTTCTCCATTTGTCTTGGGTTCTTCTTTATCCTTTCATCCTTTTATTTCCTCCTTTTCTTCAATAGTAATATCTCTTTCAACTGCATCATCTATCCTTTCTCTTTTAAATGAACCCCTTGCATAATCCCATCCTCATTGAGAATATTTAACTGTTTCCAGTTGTCCTGTAATAATCAATTTTCCGTCCTTGAAGAGT